CACGAAATGAATCCTTTTGTCATATATGTTTTTCTCATGAGTATGATTACTGTTATTTACTTAGAATTAGGTTTAGAAAGGGATTTAGTTTTATAGAAATTCAGATAAAATCTGTAATGTGGCTAGATTACTATGTAGGAAGTACAGTGGAAACCACAGCTGTTACTTTTCATTAAGAAACTACTGGCCTATCTACAAGTAATAAATTGTTCAAGGCTTCTTAGAAAAAAACAGGGATGTTGTTGTAGGACCTGAACAAATGTGACAGAAAGTTTGATAATGATGTGGAAAAACCTGTAACACCTGTTGGATTCCACCCAGAGTGTTTTCACTGACACCTGAAGAAGCTCATAATGAAACACAAACATTCAGGAAGGTTTGCTGTGAGGAAATCACTTCCTTAAAGTCATGCCATGAGGAAGAAAAGCAGGATGTTCCTTGTATACATATTAATCAGCAAAACTGTCATTGCCTGGTTTCAGCTGATGTTTATCTTGTTCTCTCAGGCAGTTATGAGCCTTTATTTGTCACTTGCAGTTGCCTGCAGCGAAATTGAACGTTTTCTGACCATACATACATTACACAAACATCACATCAGGGAGAACGGTCAGAAGAGGTTGCGTAAAGAAAAACAAGGAAATCCATCCATTGTGTCCTGGAGGAAACGTTCCTCCAGGACACGGTGGCGAGGTTTATTAAACTCCACCGAGACAGCTGGTGACGCAAATCTGAAGGCCAATTTCACAGCTGCTCACTTCCGGCCTACCCGGCCTTCGGAGGACTCGGCCCACATAGACTGCGAAGGCCGGGTCCTCAGGGGGATGCAGCCTCTGAATTTGGACACAGCTTATAACCCATGTCACTAAAATGTTACTCTGTAGCTGAATGTGTCTTAGTTTAAGTGAAATGAGATTATTTTGACTAGAAATAAGACAAATATATGTTTTAAGATTTTGAGTTTTTGCAGTGTAGACTGTTTTTTTGTACCCTAAATATTCTTTACCCATTCAGATGAAGACAATCTTAGAAACCTGAAGAAAAATCCAATGTGTTGAAGCATGTCTACTAACTATAAATGTGATACACCACCCAATTTGAACGTTCACAGAAATAACTGATTAACATGACCTATGAATATAAAACAATCTACAACTGGAACCAGCTTCAGAGTGATATATTTTTGAATGTATGGGTATTTCTGAAAATATTTAAATACATTCCCAAAAACTGTGTCTAAATTTCTAAAAACTTGACACAAAGTAAAAAATGTTAGAACTTTTTTGTTAAAATTTTACATCAAATAAAATTCAAAATCATGTTCTCTTTTCTAAAAACCGACATTCGTGCTCTGGTTGTATTGAAGTTCTGCCACCCTGTGGCAAAACTTTATGACTCACAAGAGAATCACGGCGCAATGTGTGTTTGTAAGAAAGACGATGTATTGTTTTGAAATATGTGTGTTAATGTCTTCATTTAATTTAATAAAATATAGGCAGTCTGTGAAACTATCATAAAAAAACTACCATGAAAAATCACTTTTTTGTAGTTTAATTAAAAAAGGTAACTTTTTATATATTCTATTTTGATTACTTTCTGTTTTTATTTTTTGTGTTTTTGGCTTATAGCTAAAGACAATCAAATAATTCTTATCTGGCTCTTACAATTGTAGTTGTGAAACTCTCATTAGTGATACAATGTACATTCAGATTACTACAGATGTGTGTCTTACAGACCATTATATAAAAACAGAACAAAACACTGTGACAAACATGATTTATCACAGTGATAGTCATTCAAAACATGACTATCAAATGTGATCATGTGAAACACGAATTCCAGAAAAGTTGGGACATTCTTTGAATTTTAACAAAATGTAAACTAAAAGACTTTCAAATCACATGACCTAATATTTTCTCTATAACAGAATGTAAATGACACAACAAATGATTAAACCATGAAATTTTACTTTTTTATACAATTTTATTTAATTTTTGTGCATAAAAAATTCTTAGTTTGAACATTCATGTGATTCATAATGTGATTTTCAAGTATTTTAGTTGCTCAAACTTTAAGAACGACGCATTTTTTCTGGAATTTAGGTTGCATGTTTTGGCTTGATATTATCCATACAAAAAAGTTTCATTAATAGTGATTTACAATTGACTAGTTTGTTTGGATGCATTCCAGATATGCTTCATTATGCTGGGATCATTCTGTCGTTCACAGCCTTAGATGAAACCAGAAGGTGAAATGTAAAAAGAATATTTTAGAAGTGACAAATTCTTCAACCACACGCTGTCCTTTAAATTCACCAGCAATGAATGCACTTGATAAATAACTGCACTGTTACAAAAAACATCGTAAAACAACGGTAATCTTCCGGCAGCTGGGGCGCCAAAATACGACCGTGAAATAACAGAAAATAACTGTCCCATAAAAATACGGTTATTTTCAGTAATGAAAATAGAGTTTGTTGCGCTAATTTGACATGGGATTCTGCCTTTTCCAAGTGCTTTTAGACATTAAATTAGGAACATTTTTACGCGATCAAACAATGAAATTACCTATAAACAAGGTCACTGAATGTGGAAATATGAATCATAATACGTAAATGTACAGAAATATACAGTTAACAGTTGGTTCGAATAATAATTGATTGGATGTCCAGGGACAGACTGACAGAGGCGAGGATGCCATATCGCACCATCGGCCATCACTAGTAGGCGGTAGATGAAGAGTCTTGACCACGGACACAACGACGGAGAGTGTCCGAGCCGGGGCGCGAACCGGCAATCTTTTGATCACAAGGTAAACTGCCAACCCTTGAGCCACGAACGGCCTAACTAGCAATGATAATAATACTTATGTGATGCAACTCAAGCTTATAGGGATCATGTTATATACTTTTCCATAGCATTACATTTGAATTCGATCTTTCAAATAACGGACAGATATTTGTGAGATCATGATACATTTGTATCATTTGTATTTTAACAATCTAAATATGCATATGTACAGACAGATACATTTTAATTTAATTTAATTATGTTGTATTACATTAGGCAAGGCAAGGCAAGGCAAGGCAAGTTTATTTGTATAGCACAATTCAACAACAAGGTGATTCAAAGTGCTTTACAGAGACATTAGAAACAAAAACAAATAAAAAGCATGATTTAAAATTGATTAAAACAAGCAAATAAAACAAACTAACTAATTAACAAACAAACAAACAAACAAAACAGTATATAAAATCAAAACAGATAAAATCAGTAGTTAAAATGTTAGTTTTGAAATTTAAGCTTAAAAGTGTGGATTTGGTGCTTTATTCAAATGCTGCTGAGAACAGGTGAGTCTTCAACCTGGATTTAAATAAACTGAGTGTTTCAGCTGATCTGAGGCTTTCTGGGAGTTTGTTCCAGATATAAGGAGCATAAAAGCTGAATGCAGCTTCTCCGTGTCTGGTTCTGACTCTGGGAACTGATAAAAGACCGGATCCAGATGACCTGAGGGATCTGGAAGGTTCATGCTGGGTCAGGAGGTCGCTGATGTATTTTGGTCCTAAACCATTCAGAGCTTTATAGACCAGCATCAGAACTTTAAAGTCTATCCTCTGACGGACAGGCAGCCAGTGTAAAGACCTCAGAGCTGGACTGATGTGGTCCACTTTTTGGTCTTAGTGAGGACTCGAGCAGCAGAGTTCTGAATGAGCTGTAGTTGTCTGACTGATTTTTTAGGTTACAGTGATTACAGTGATTTAACGTTAATTTACATTCAAAATGTGAAGCCAAAGTCTATTTATGTAACTTTAATGATATTCTAGACGAACAGAACATTACTGTAAAATGCACAGTAAAATACCTTCATATTAGGGTTTTTTCCTACAGTCGCAGCCATACCCGCGACCGTGTTGTTAGTTCACATTCATTGGCCGATGCTTAGCGTCATGTTATTTATATTAATTGCAATTCCTACCTCTACATTTCTTTTTCAAAATATATAATTAGCACAGTGTGTCCGTGCAATGTTTTACATTGTGGCATGCAGAGAAATCTTAACAACGAAGCTCACAGAGAGAGATTGAGCTTGTTGTTTAACCCCAAGCTGGTAGGGGGAGGTCTTTATTAAAACACTTGCTGTGCTACAATGTGCCTCAAGGTTCAACAACAGCACAACAGAAGTCACTCATGGTACAGCACTCTCTCTACAAAACAACAACTGTCAGTGACGCTGCACCACGGCGTAAACACAACATTCAAGATAATGAATAATGGCAGAAATGAACTTTCTCCAAAGGGTGGCGGGTCTCTAACTTAGAGATAGGTTGAAGAGTTCGGCCGTCCATGAATGGCTCAGAGTCGAGCCGCTACTCCTCCACATTATAAGGAACCAGTTGGGGTGGTTCCGGCATCTGACAAGGATGCCTCCTGGGTGAGGTATTGCAGGCATTTCCCATTATATGTTACAATGGGTAGGACTAGACATCACCTCAGATGTAATGTTGAAGAAAAAGAGGGGGGGAAATGGTGACCAGGTACAAAAGTTTCATGCAGAAGAGATAAGCTGCATTTTCTTCTTTTTTCTATGTTTTACTTTAATATGATTTATCAGCAGCTCCATCACACAAATATTGATTTCAACATGATTTTTTTCACTCAGTTACATAATGTAGGAATGTGTTGATCAAAAATATATTTTGATAAATATTTATATTTTTAACGAAGAATTAAAAATGATTTAATATTAGCAAAAGCACACATAAATAAACTCTTCTTCTGTATCACTTTACCCATGGAAAGACTAGTTATTATTTCCTTTTACCCTCAAACAATGTCCAAAAGGTAAAACAGAAATCCAAAACTGGAAGAACCAGTTTGAACCCACAGCTCTGTCACTGTCAAATGCCAGAGGCATGCCAGCTGTAAAGCTATAAAAGCACTGTGTTGAACAGAGGCTTTAACATTCATCTCTCTCACCTGCGCAGTGACAACAGTGAAGTTAAGATGGCTTCATTTCCACTATGTAAGATTTATAGTTAATCTTCATCAAATAAAAGTAGTGAATTGTGTTTGAGGTCCTGTGAAGTGAATTGTGAATTGTGTTTCAGGTCCTGATTTGAGCATTGTGATGATTGGGAAAACTGGTGTGGGTAAGAGCGCTGTTGGAAACACCATCCTGGGAAAAACAAATTTCAGCTCTTGTCCCTTACTGGGGTCAGTGACCGAGGTCTGTGAAAAAGGTGTGGCACAGATGGGTAACAGGTCAGTTAGTGTTGTAGACACACCAGGGATCATGGACGTTGCGAATTCAGATGAGTTCATCAAAAAAGAAATCAAGAAATGTGTTGAAGACTCCTCTCCCGGTCCTCATGTGTTCCTGTTGGTCTTCCAAGTGGGTCGATTCACTAAGGAGGAGAAAAACTCAGTGAAAGCCCTGCAGGAGCTGTTTGGCCCAGAGATAAACCAGCACATGATTGTGCTGTTCACCCGTGGCGGCGATCTTGAAGACATGACCATAGAGGAGTATGTAAATGAAGCTGATCTTGGACTTCAGCACATCATTGAAAGCTGTGGAAACAGGTTCCACGTCTTTGACAACACCAGCAGTGACAGAAAGCAGGTGGAGCAGCTGGTCAAGAAGATTGATGACATGGTGGCAGCAAATGGAGGCATACGCTACACAAACGCCATGTATAGACAGGTGGAGGAAGCACACAGTAAGGGATTGGCCGTGGATGAGTGTAAATTCACTGAGTCGCTGTTTCAGCGTATCAAAATGTTTCGTACTGTTCTTCATGGAGATTAAATTATTGTAATAAATAGTGATGAATCTAGTCTAAACAGGACAGTTTCTGTACCCATTTGTAAGTCTAGTCTGACACAGACTTACAGTGTAGACAGCTGTCTACATTATTTAACTTTATCTTTTGGTATTCAAGAGGAAAGCATTATAAAGTGAAATAATAATCATAGTACGAGCTTTTCTCTACTGCATCTGCTCCAATTTGTAGTGAGTTTGCAACCCTGATGGTTTGGTGTTAAATTTATTTTAAATAGTGTGTTTTATGCATATTTTCAGTCAATGACTTGTTTTTAAATGATGGCATGAAGTTTGAAATGTATTTTCTTTTCTTTGCCATTTTTGTCTGAAAATATTGTGAAAAGCATTTAATTTTGTCAATGATTGTTTATTGTTGCTTCAGTGTAATTCTTTTAAATGTTATATCTCAATAAATAATTTCAATGCATCGCTGTCATCATTTCTTTCTAATTCTAAAACACTGCTTTCTTTTCTTTTTTTTTCTTCTTTTTTTTTGTGTCCCGTTTGGATCTTTAGCCATCAGAATTGTTGTCTTGAGGCCAAGAAAGATGCCAAGCGGATTTATTTTACCAAGTGGATCATCATGGCCTTGCCATATTGGTCCATTTGATTGACCTTTATTATAATTATGAATTTATTTTATTTTCAGTTGCAAACGGGACGGACATAACTGTGGGATAGGACAGGGGAAAAGAATGAAAGAAAGAGGGGGAGAGAAAGAAAGAAAACCAAAGGGGAGAAGAGACGGTGAGAAGGGGGGAAGAGAGAAAAAAAAACAAACAAACAAAAAAAAAAAAAAAAAGGTATGGAGGAGATCAAAACTCCAGACATCTAGAGGCCCCCAGAACACAAGAGACCAAGGAAGACCCACAGAGGGGCAGCTGCGCCACTGTCCCAGTAAGAGCTGAGGAGAGTCCCAGATGAGGGCTCACTCAGCAGCCGCGGAGCAGAAGCCAGGGTTAGTTGCAGTGACGTGCCCGTGAGCTCCGCCGGCAGCCAGCTGTGCCTGAGTGACCGAGCCCCAGGCCGAGAGGCCGGGGGCACCCCACCTCCGAAGTGGCCCGAGCGAGCCCCAGGCTCCAGGCCCCGATAAGCGGCCGCCAAGGAGTGAGCCGGTGTGTACCCGGACGCCCACCCCCAGACACAAAGAACCACCAACGCACCGACGTCTGAGGGAGTCCGCCACTGGCAGGGGAAGTGGTGGTGGGTGGAGATAGGCCTCCAAACCTTGGAGGGCCTGAGATGTCCCCAGAGAGGTGGCGTCTGATACCCAACCTGACATATAGACACAGACATACAGGCACACACAGACACAAACATCCATTCCCACCCTCATGCTCTCATATGCACTCACTCCACACTCAACCAACGTGGAGACAGACATAAAGAGACGCTGTACACACAATCACACTCCCCAAGCATACTCTACGAACCGGGTCTAGGTACTCTTGCCCCTGGAGGGGGGAACTGCACCCAGACCCTGGTGTTTCCAGTCTACATAAACATGGCTATCAAAATTGCCCATGTATGTTTTTTTCTTAATGATGCTATTTTATGCATATGTATAAAAATATATGGAAATAAGCTGCCTTCTTCCTGTTTCGTGCAATGTGTTGGTTTTTTTGTGTGTCATATGTCATTTACTCAGTTATTACATTACTTACTAATATCGTCATGTACTGTATGTACAGTGAGTATAGTACTGGGGTTGTATTTATCAGAATGCAGACAAATAATGTTGGTCAGTAAACAGTAAAGCTGTATTTGGTTTCCTTACTTTTTAACTCAGACATGGGCCGAGTATGTGTTCCCAGTTTATTTGATGTATTTTTGAATCCCTTCAGTAGCCATTTTCAGAATAGAGTATTTTCTACAGTTTCCCAATAACTGAGAAATGTGAATGAAATTAAAGTTTTGGAACTAAAAATATGAAAATACCTAAAAGTCAGAGGTTAGGAAAATTAAAAAGATTCCCAACAACATCACACTGCATCTGGATCATAACAAAGTGAGCTCTTCCTTATGACTGCCCTCTACAGCAAGTCCAGGTGTAACTACAGACTTTATGTCAACCAGTCAGTTGCACATTAATAATGGAATAAAGTGAATTAATAAAAATGTTATTTACTATACACTGTTCCAAAAAATAGTAATGTCAAATTATTTTACTGTGTAGTTTACAGTCGTGTACTGTTTTTCTAGAATATCATTACATTTACATAAGTAGACTGATCTGACACGTCAAATGTAAAATAACATAACATCACTGTAAATGTAATAAAAAACAATTTACTTGTTTTTTAAATATACTTTTTTGTACATATGCATATTTAGATTGTAAAAATGCATCCAGAAATGTCTCCCATCATGCCTTGGGACATGTGTTGCTGTTTAGATGTTCTTGTTCTATTGTTTATGGTTACGTTACTTTTAACTGTTATCTTGAATGTTGTGTTTACGCCTGTCATGAGTCGCTGTGTGGCAGGCAGGAGTTGGACGCAAAATGCAGGCACTCAGGCATGAGGTTTAAACACAAACAAACTCAGCTTTATTTGCTGGCAGGGGAAAGTCATAAAAAAGGCAAACTAAACTAAACTGGAAACTCATAAACAAAACTCAGTGAGACACAGGGAGATCCACACAGCATGAGGGACGACGCGACACGGACACAGAGAAACACAAGGCTTAAATACACAGAGGGAGCAATCAGGGAATGAGTAACAGGGGGGAAACACAGCTGGGCAAATCAGGCCTAACGAGACAAAGGAAACACAACCAGACGCATTTACATGAGACACGGACTTTCAAAGTAAAACAGGAAACATAACACAGACTGAACTTAGACACACAGACAGGCACTACAGAGGGAACAGAGACGTGGGACCAGGGCAGACACGAAACAAATGAAACACAACGAGCCAGAAACCAAAACACAGGGAACAAAGTCCAAAACAACAGCACTGAGGCCCAGGAACAGTCCAAAAGCAAACAAACAAAAGAGCCCACGAAAGGCACAGAGGCCCAGGCAACAGTCTCGAAAAGTTCAGGGGGCCGGCCCGGAGGCTGACGGCACAACAGTCCAAACCCGGGCAGTTCAGGGGGGCGGCCCGGAGGCTGACGGCCCAAGAGCCCAGAAAACAATTCAGGAGGCCGGGCAGGCGGGAAGCATCGGCGGCGACGGAACAGATCAGGGGGGTGGCCGGGCAGGAGGCACCGGCGGCGACGTAGTTCAGGGGGCCGTCCATGATGGCAGCGTAGTTCAGGGAGCCGTCCATGATGGCAACGACGTCCAGTCATCGGCCGAACAGGACATGCAGGACGAGCAGGCCGGACAGGACGTGCTGGCCGGACCGGACGTGCAGGATGAACAGGACCAGACGGCATGGGGACCTCAGGCGCAGACAAAGCTAGACGGAGCGAGGCAGGACCAGGCGACGCCTAAGGCGAAGACACGGAGGCAGGACCAGGCGACGCCGAAGGCGAAGACACGGAGGCTGGACCAGGCGGAGCTGAAGACACGGAGGCAGGACCAGGCGGAGCTGAAGACACGGAGGCTGGACCAGGCGAGGGTGGTGGCGCTGCAGGCGACGGCGTGGGAGCCGCAAGTGGTTGCTGGACGGGCCCCTCGGACCCTCCAGCGGAGGCAGGAGGCTGGACGGGCCCCTCGGACCCTCCAGCGGGAACAGATGGCTGAAGCGGTCCCTCGGACCCTCCAGCGGGAACAGACGGCTGAAGCGGTTCCTCGGACCCTCAAGCGGAAGCAGGTTGCTGGACGGGCCCCTCGGACCCTCCAGCGGGAACAAACGGCTGAGCAGCCAAGTGACCCTGTGGCTGAGCAGCTGATGCAAAAAATATAGCCCCAGAATAAATAGTCCCATGGCCCGAAGAAAGAGAAAAAGTGTCCTTTTTGCTCACCACAGCCGGCTGTTTTGACATCCGGCTGTGGGGTGACACGTCCGGCTGTGGGGTGACACGCCGGTGGCATGGCCGCCGCTTCCTCCTCGGTGATGGCTCCAATGGGCCGGGCAACTCCAAGTCCGGCGGGCTGGGCAGCACATCTTTCTCCGAGTTGGGTAGGTGA